TCAGACTATTTACCAATATAAATTACTCTAAATTACTGCGTGATTAAATATTCAAAACGGTAAATAACTATACAAAAGTTAATTAGATGAGATATTTTCTTTTCATTAAAGAACGCATAACACGTAATGTTCTTTTCAAATCAGCTATGTATGTAGAAAGCAGTATTCAAACACTCGATTTACTCCTAACTGAGTCCATTAACAAATGCACAGATATTATAGATAGTAAGAAAAGATGGCAAATTACTTTCAATAAACTACCCCAAAAAATTAAAGAAAAGAGATTACTTAGTAACGATACCAGATAACTAGATTAAGTAAAGATAAAACTAAATTAAACAAAGTATGCAAAGGCTTGAATAAAATGTTGCATGAAGAATATAACACACGAATGCAGAGTTGTCTTAGAACATTGAGTCCGACAGAAGAGTAGATTAGAAAATCTTGCTGTAAATGGGATATATCAGACGGAAAAAAACTATAACGTTCACCAATTACCTAATAACAGATTTTAAATCTCACAAATGAATAATCATAGAATAAGAAAAAAAATCTTTATTGACGACTAAGACAGTAGACAAATGACGTCGTTTAAAATAAAGAAACTATTTCAAATAATTAATGATATTAATTACAAAAAAGGCCCCAGATTTGATAATATTACAAGAATAATGAAAAAACTACCTACAATAGCAAAAAGCAATTATTTTTATTGCATGCTTACGATTTTTCTATATTCCCACTCAGTGGAAAGTAGCAGAGGTCATTTTAATACTTAAGTTAGGTAAATAATCTGAACCGGTGTTCTTATACAGACCGACTAGTCTATTACCAGAACTTTCAAAAATTTCTGAATCATTAATCCTAGTTAGAATCAACCCAATAGTACTGAGTAGAAGACTTATCTTAGACCATAAGTTTAGTTTCAGGTGCAACCACTCCATGATTGAACAAGTAAATAGAATAGTGTCTGCTGTAAGAAAATCTATTGAAGAAAAATAGTATTGCAAAACAAAGTTTGGCGTATTGGGCTTCTGCACAAACTTAAAAAAATTTTTCCAAAGTGCTACTACAAAGTGCTTCTGAAGTCTTACTTATAAAAGAGAACTTTTTAAGTTAAAATAAATAAAATATTATCGAAACGCCTTTTAATAAAAGCAAAAGTACTGCATGGTATTATATTAGGGTCAACACTTTACCTGCTAGTCATCTCAGACCTACCGAAGTCTCCTACTATCATGACAGCAAAATTCGCAGATGATAGAGCTATGTTAACATCACATTTAAAGGAAACTATAATGTTCGAAATATTATAAAATTATATAATTAATCATCTTCAAAGTGTATTTAACTTATGGAGAACCAAAGTTAAAGAAAGAATATCAATTCTCACGACGTTATCACTTTGAAAATACACTTGCCCATCGATTAAACTCAATGAAAAATATATTTCGTACAACAATAACGTAAAATATCTAGGTATACGAGGTCTGTCCGGAAAGTATCGGGCCTACCTTTATATTTTCGTGCTAGCGTTATTCTTTATCATCTGGTGGGTGGCATCCTTCAAAGTACAAAGAAATGAAATTATTTACTTTATTATTATAAATTACTTCCTTTATTTTATAGTCTGGAATATTGAACATTTCATGATTGTCTAAATTCCATGTTTCTGTGCATACTATTATACGTGGTTTTTTTTCGAGGTTCTTCAGAAATACTAGTAATTTATTGTAATTTTTTTTTAGGCTTCTGATGTTTATACAAAGAATGATATTATTTTCTTTACATATATATTTGTTTAGATCATCAATATTATCTGTTTTATGTTCTGTAACGGGGGGATAAATCTGCAAAATTAGAAATTTATTTAAGAGCAAACTCCCACGATGCAGAGCAAACCGCCGCTCCGTTAACACGTATGTTAATACGTGTATTCGCCTTAACGTCAGCTGACTTAACTTAGTTGTCTTCGATCAAGCAGAGTTGAACTCACCTTAAGTCACGTGCCTTGTGATACTCGATGAATTTTAAGTGTAATCGACTTTGCTCCTAATCCACTTAATCCCCTAGCTATAATCGGATTAAAACCTAAGCCTTTTTCAATTGTTTAAACTATTAGGAAAAATTATATGACGAAATCGGCGAATAAGTTTAATAGATTTTATTAAAAAAAAATCTCTACAGTCTTTGTCGGGCCGAAAGACTGACGCACGCGAATAGGATTTACAATTAAATAACTTTCGGTGAGAAAGAGAGAGAGAGAAGATACGAAAATTGGCGCGATCTAACGCTCGACGCGAATACATAAAATTAACGCTAACACTGTTGGACAAAATACCAAATGTATTTTGTCACGCGATAATTAAGGAAGGTGCACCTACCCTGCGGTGCAATTACGATGATCAGCCGTAATTGTTGAAGCAAATTAAAGGTGCTCCTCAGATCAGAATCAGCTGTGCTGTCTCGATCGCAAATCTGCTGTATAATAGCTGTTGCTTACGCTGCTGCTTCCGTGATGCTGCTACTGTCGCTGCTTCCTCGCTCACCCTTGCACACGTATCCAAAATCCAAGTAAACTATTTATTGGCAAATCGGTGAAACACTGTGCTAAACTATTTTGGCGGTACTACACAAGTAACAGCTGAGACGTAACTGCTAATTCAAAAGATCGCGCGCCCCCTCTCTCTCTCAATACTTAGAACTAACGCGCGAAAATCAGAATAGCGAACGGTTCGATTAATTGAATCGACTACCGTTGCAGTTCATTTTCAAATATAATATCATATAAGCTGTTATCCATATTGTAATATTGCAGAAAACTATTTAGTTTTGCTGGTTTTATTACCTGTTGGACTTGGAGTAGATAATGATGATAACGATAAACTGTTATTTATTCTCGGACGGTTATATATCTTGCGGATGTTTGTTTCAAAGTTTATTCTACCAAAATATCTTTGATGAGTTGGTTGAATTGGATAATCTGTCATTTCAATATACCTTTTTATTTTCATTTTTAAAACTTCACACATTTCGCTATCGATTGCACTATGGTTTACGTTGTAGTTTTTACTATATGTTTCATTGTGGAAAATGCAGTTTGGACTGGAGTATGCTGCTACTACACATTTTTGCTTAGTGCTTGCCAGCACATTTATAACACGTTGGCTCTTTTTTTGCTTTTTCACACTTTCCGCCACCGTGGCCAAAACCTGAGCAGTTGTAACACGGATATGTGTTGATGACGTCAAAGACTCTGCAGTTTTGACATCCAATAAATAATTTGTTACTATTGTTTTTTATATGTTTATATAGAATAGATGGAACTTCTATTATTGCAGTTACTGTTTTATTTTTTTCATTTGTAAATACATGATTTACTTTGCATTTTTCTTCGTATTGACTAAAATTTCTTGCATTAATATCAGTTTCTATATCTTTTACATTTGTTGTGAAAGCTTTAGAAATTCCTACTACTTTAACTATCGGTTTACGTATTTCTTCTTTTAGAACAGTAAGTGCCGGTAGTTTTTTTGTAAAGTTTTTTCTAACACTGTGACATTTTCTTCGGTCATGCAGTTGATAATTATTGTGTCAGTATTTTTATCTTGTACACTTTTTGTTTGTATGTTTTTGTCTTTAATTAAGTAATGTGCTACTTGATTTTCTAAGTTTATGTTATCATTACTCTTATTCTTTATTATTAATCTTGGTATTCTTTTGGGTTTAGGTTTTGGTAGTGCAATTGTTTCAGCATATGTTTTTCTCATAATGTTAGTATTTGCATTTTTATTTTGTTTTTCTTTAATTAGTAGTTCATTGAGCAATTCATTTTTTTCTTTTGTTTCTTTGTACAGTTCTTTCAATAGGTTATTTTCGGCTTTTAATTGTTGTAATTCATCCAAATCATTCATCTATGTTACATCCATATGATCATCTTTTTCATTTAAAATTTGCTTTTCATGCACAAGCTCATTTAATATTTCCTGTTTTATTTGTTCTCTACTTACAAGTTTGAATTGTGTTATGAAAGCTCTAGCTTGTTCACTTAAGTCCCCATATGGCAAGTTTGATGTTAGTGCAAAATTTGGATGAAGCAAAATGAGCTGTTTATTAGTTTGATTGCATTTCCTGCATTGATTTTTGCTACTATTTCACTCGTATGATAGAAATTTCCACATACTAAACACACAACTGCTCCTACTTTTGTATTTGGATGACACTTGAAATGCTTATGTAGCGATGATGCGTCAGGCGGTTGCACTTCCGCACCGCTTGACGGCGACATCGCGACTCAAATTGTTTCAAAAAGGCCTAAAATTCAATTTTTCCTACAATCTCTTAGTTATTTATATTTTTATCGAAATATGAAATGAAATCAGAACCCAACCCAACCCGTTATCACCTTAATTTAACTTCGTTCAGACCCACCGTGTCTTATGAAAGCATTAGCTAAATTCTATTGTTTTAGCGTTTTGAACTGTTTCAAGATTTTCAGTTATACATCGCGGAAAATCCGACATTCAGCCAAAATTATATCAGTCCTTCAATGAGTATTTAGAGGCTTACTCTTATTATTCTTATCCGATTAATTGACTCCATAGCAAATTATCTAATCTGTCTCATTTTACGGATCTGATAGTCGTCTCCTTTTATTATTGCAATTAATTTCTAGTAAAAATCGAAAATTTTAAATCTTGAAATTTGACATCGGATGTCTCATCCTAGTACTTTGGAATGAGCTTTAGCTATCTTCAAATAAGATATCCCAGTTGAAGGTCAACTAATAATAAAATATAAGTCAATTAATTATAAAAAATTATTATAAAAGCGTTGATCTTTTGTTTTTAAAAAATTGTTACTTTAATTAATTTTATTTTCCTTGTGAATAAATTTTGAAAAATACTTTATATTTAAATAACTTCTCGAATTAATCTTTTGCTTTCCTTGTTTATTCTTGATACGTAAAAATATATATACACTTATAATTTTTTTTTCAGTTGGTGATAAAAAATTTAAAAAACGAGGTATTAAAAAAAATCGCAATCCCCAACTGCGATGAAATTTTTTATGCTGGAACAGGTATGATTTTCTTACGAGATACAGACCAAGTTATATTATTTGATATTCAACAAAAGAAAGTTGTAGCTGAAATTAAGATTTCTAAATGCAGATATGTTGTGTGGTCTAGCGATATGAATTCTGTTGCTTTATTATCGAAACATTCCGTAACAATTTGCAATCGCTTATTGGAACAGTTGTGTTCAATTCATGAAAATACACGAATTAAATCAGGTTCATGGGATGAGTCTAATGTATTTATTTATACAACTAGTAACCATATTAAATATACAGTTAATAATGGAGACCATGGTATCATTCGGACATTAGACCTTCCTATTTACATTACACGAGTAAAAGGAGATCAAGTTTATTGTTTAGATCGAGAATGTAAACCTCGCATTTTAAGAATTGATTCAACGGAATATAAATTTAAATTGTCTTTAATTAATCGTAAATATGAAGAAGTTTTACTTATGGTACGGTCTGCGAATTTGGTTGGCCAATCGATAATTGCCTATTTGCAGCAGAAAGGTTATCCAGAAGTTGCTTTGCATTTTGTAAAAGATGAAAAAACAAGATTTAGTTTAGCTTTAGAATGTGGCAATACTGAAGTAGCTCTGGAAGCAGCAAGAGTTTTAGATGACAAAAAATGTTGGGAAAATCTAGCTCAAGCAGCGTTACTGCAAGGAAACCATCAAGTGGTTGAAATGTGTTATCAAAGGATAAAAAACTTTGAAAAGTTAGCCTTCTTGTATTTAATAACAGGAAATTTGGAAAAACTCAAAAAAATGACAAAAATAGCCGAAATTAGAAGAGATTTTTCTGGTCAATATCAGGGTTGCCTTCTACTTGGTGATATAGAAGAGCTAATAAAAATTTTAAAGGTACGTACTTTTTTTAGAAAGTTATAATTTTTATTCAATCTATATTTTACTGAAAAATAATTCATTGAAAAAATTGATAAGGCAATAAATTTACATACGTACTATACCAATAGTCTTTTGGTACACACGATATTTTCCGAAATTGAATATAACAGCAAGTTATCTGTTGCCATCGAATCGAAGGTATCGTAAACGCAGAACTATTTGAAGGGCTTAAGGATTTTTTGAAACGGCGCACGTGTTCGAGATATTTGAACTGCGAAAAATATGAAGACATTAATTAATGCTGTATAATGATCGTATATTTATTTGGTGATGCTTAGATAAACGGCAAAGGACTTTGGTAGTATAATAATCGTTGTTGAAACTATATACACTTCTTGTAAAAATTAAAGGAACAAAAAAATGATTTTAAATAGGCTGTATTTCGGTGAAAAATAGTCGTATAGGAAATATAAAAAAATAAAGCTTTTGGAGCTTCAAGACTCTAGTTTTTGAATTTCTTGTTTTGAAAATTTTTCAGAGCACCGGTAATCATCCTTGGAAAAAACGCGAAGAAAAAATTTTTTACACTTTTTTCGCTCTATGGGCATGGAAAAATTTTTCCGAGCTAGATATAAGTCGCATAGCCTGTTTATTCGGCTTCAATTTGCTTTTTATGGGACTCGGATACGACGATTTGTTTTCGAGATATAGAATTTTGAATGCAAAAGGATTCTTTTTAATTCAACTACCGATCTCTGGAACTACTGATCGTCTAGCGAGCGGACAGGGGATGTTTTTTTCAGCAGAAAATTTCCTACAAAAATCTGTCATGGTTAATTTCAAACATTCCACCTGTAACATTAACGATTATTAACATTCATTAATAATAAAAATAAATCTTCTCCTGTTTCCTGCTAATTCAAATTTTCCACCTGTAACATTAACGTGAAAAAAGAGTAGAAAAAATGCCATTTTGCCTTTTTTTGTTTAATCGACTGTAACGTATCTCCGTATTTTGAAAAAATTAAGGGAACAAGGTTTTTGTTCCTTGTACTCAACCTAATTTTTTACAAAAATCAATATCATTTTTTTAAATTTTCATTTAATTTCGTATTTTTGAAAGATTAATTATCAAAAAACATTCTACAACATTTTTTTTTGTTTTTAAGAAAATTGTTGACAAAAATTTTGATTGATGATTGATTTACCGCTGGCATTAGCCTTATTCAGAGTATAATACGTGGAGGTTATAAGATCGGATTTATGTTTCTTTTGTGTTTTCTATGATTCTTCAGAAAAAATGAGACCCTGTGGCTCGTCAGCTTTACATTATTTAGCGACTCCAAACCCTTTTTCTGATACGTATGTGTGTCAGTGTTGTGTGACTAATTTTTAGAAGAAGTGAGACCCCACGGTTTGTCAGCTCCACAGTATTTTATGACTCCAAACTCATTTTCTAAAGTGTGTAAGCGCGTGCGCGCGCGCGTGTGTGTGACAGTATTGAGTGTTCCCTCCGTTACTCCTAATCACAACTTGCAATCTTTGTTTGTCACATATTCGAAATGTAATTTCGAATCATCCGTTGAGGGATCTGACACTAAACTCTTATCAAAGCGTTCTCTAATGCTGCTAAATTGTTCAAGTTCGGATAATTTTGACGCAATCAACGGCCCAATATGTTCCAGACATGCTCTATAGGAATCAGATCAGGACTCATTGCTGGATGCCTCAACAATCTAATGTTGTTTCTCTGAAAGAATTGACAGTTGATATTCGCGGTATGAAGCCTAGCATCATCCTGCATAAAAATAAATCTTCTCCTGTTTCCTGCTAAAAGTAACACCCCAGGGCGCAAGATTCGGTCTATATAACGCGTAGCATTGAGAGTGTCTCGAACAATCACTAAAGGAGTTCGAGAATTCCTCGAAACTGCAGCCCAAACCTTCACCGATCCTCCACCGTAAGCTGCTACGGGACGAATAAGTCGTTGTTTATAACATTAACCTGTACAACGCCAAGCTTGAGGTCTTCGGTCGTTACCATACAGGCAAAACTGAAACTCGTCAGAGAAAAAAAAACGTTCCAATTTTTCATTGGCTAGTTTGTAGGGTCGCGAGTGTACTGCAGACGAGCTCTGTGATGTGCAATGATCAACAATGGTCCACGAACAGCAATTCTAATACGGAGTTCAGATTCGCGAATACAATGTCTTACTGTCGATCGAGAAATGTTTCGCTGCTATCGTCGTTGCCGTTGTTGCTATCATTGTGGTTGTTGCTTTCGTTGTTGTTGACGGTTTGATAAGTTCCGAGCGATGCTGCATTTGCTGGAGCAAAAGGGTCTTGAATAGCATGTCAAATAATTGCCCGTTCGTCTAGACGAGTCATTACTCGTTGATTGCCTTGTCCAGCACGTTGTTCATATATATCTGTTTCCAGGAATCGGTCGTACGCACGAGAAATAACCGAAGCAGTTATAACGAGTCGTTCATCAACCTGTCGATATCAGTACCCCTCCTGAAAGAGTCACTAGCCGAGCCACTTCTGGGAGAGATAAATGTCGCCTAAGGGGCATTATGACACAAATTGAATTTCAAAAGTTGCTGTCAGTAATTTCTTTTTTGAAATTAACGAAAAAAGGCTAGTTTTGAAAAAAACTGGTTATTGGTTTTTTTACCGAATAAGTCGAAAAGCTTTTTAAAAAACTGTTTTTTAACACGTGGTGGCTCTGCAGAAAACGTAAAAATATTATCGCTCAGAATTTCGCACGAGTACCGCGGGCACTTTTGGGGTATCAACTTTAAAATTCAATAAAATTTTTTTTAAGGAAAATAAATGTTTAAATGTGTTCATAGCTTCAGCGGAGGTGAGTCAAAAATGGCTTATTGATTTATTTTTTTTAATTTTCCGATATTTTCAGAAAAAAATTTTGCGAAATCATTTCAATCGTAAAAAAGAAATTTTCTTTTCAAATTTTATTTTAATTAGCAAAAAGAATTTTTTGGAAATTTTCATAATTTTTGAAAATTTTTATTTGGATTTTTTCTTGATAATTAATCTTTAAAAAATATAAAATTGCGTAAAAAGTAAAAAAAATGAAATTATTGATTTTGTAACAAAATTAGGTTGAGTTTAAGGAATAGAAGCCTTGTTCCTATAATTTTTCAAAATTTCAATCAATCAGTCCAGGAAAACCGCTGAACCGATGGATCTACTAATTTAGGGGAACCTTTTGGGTACAATAGGCTGTAAAATTTCCTTCCAATCTAGGTATTTCCCCCAATATTGACGAAGATACAGTCAATTAAGCAAATAGTAGTACCATATAATAGTAAACCAATAGGCGAATAAAAAGATCTAGACTAAACCGCAGACATAAGAATGTAAACTGCTGTATAATTTTACTGTCCCACTTATTCAGAGATTCATTTTTTAGATTATTCTTATTTCTTTTTGTAACATTAAGTCTCATGCTAAAATAGCCTAGGACAGACCTAAACAAACCATACCATTCATAGCATAAGTGAAAAAAGGTACCGATGTTTTTTTTTGCCATGTGCATTTGTGTATAAAAAATTATTTAAAAATTACCTAAAAAGTTAATATTTTAAAAATTTGATTGCGGAAATGGATTTTAAGGGAAAAAATATGAAAAAACTGTATCTAATGTTTTCTGATCAGACTTCAAATTGTTGGTATAAAATAGCAATAATACTTCAATCAAAATTGTTTTCTGATGTAATTTTGACGATATAATTTTTCATGGAATTGGAAAAATATATTTCAAACAACTCTAAAGAATTCTTATAGAACAAAAAAGAAATCAGTTCAATATTGAAATGACAGTCATTCTTGACAGTGGCGTTATGATTCATGAGTCTTTACTTGCTAATCGAAAACATTTAGATTCTAATAATTTTTAAGTACTGGTACTGAGCTTTTGACATGTTCATGAAAACTAGTAGGAATTGGTCGAGATGATATATGTTCATTCAGATAACAATCAGAATTTCCATCAAAGCTTTCGTAGTCTCATGGAATAAATACTATATTGACAGATCGAGAATTAGCTAGACAATCGATCTAAACATCATCAACTTTATTTTGTGTGTTCTAATAGACACTCATGTCGTTAGTGTCTTTCTAGCAAACGAGCGACACTATAACTCGATGTGGTGTATTGCTGCATACATGAGGCCCCGCTCACTTAACGCTCGCTAGTTAATTATTAAATATATTTTAACGTATAAGTATATTTATGGAAAAAATCAAATAACTGGAATATATATATATGTATATAGGGGTTCTTTATAAAGTTCGAATTAAAGCTTACTCGGGAATTTTAGCAGCTTTGAAACCGAGCTTGTCGAAATATCGTAGACGTACGATTTATCCCGTACACATGCATATCATGTTATCCGGGGACGTGCTTAATTTTTAAATACTTAGTCAGCGTAGGTTATAATGCTATGTAATTGAGAAGATCGCGTTACACTGGCGCGACCGGTATTTATGATAATAAATGGAAAGAGTCGCGAAAGCAAAATACCAAAACCAAAATAATTAAAAATTTAACGAACGCATACACGTCTACATATATATATATATATATATATATATATGTATATATATGTAGTTATACACAAAATGAATATGCGGAAATTTGCCAAATGGTAATTAATCCAAATATTATTATTATTATAGAAAAATAGGTAAGAAGAAAATAAGTTTACACTAATGAACCTTGAGTTACTTACTTGTTAGAAGTTTATTTATTATTATTATTAGTAGGTTTGTCCTCGAAGTTATATAGTTATAATTGTATATATTGTCAAAATATTCGTCCAATGAAATATAATCCTTTTATTTTTGCTGGTCCTTATAATAACTGTTATCCTTGTACAAGTAATTATGCTGTAATCGATCTGAACGTACGCCGTATACGTATATATGTATATATATATATATATATATATATATATATGTGTGTGTGTGTGTGTGTGTGTGTGTGTGTGT